CTTTAAAAGCTACAAGCGAAAGTGTTTCCTTATAATCATTCTTATGAATTAGAGCGAAACCTTTTGGTACCTAGATTTTATGGTGTATTTGTTCCCATCCATGTGAATCTATCATTTATAACCAAATTCAAATTTAGTTTTCCTTACATGGATTGAACTTTGATTATTCTAAATTGCTTTTCATCTGGTAGCACAAGGGCCTACCATTGCTTCCATGTTGTTAATCAGTTCACCCATATTGATCAATGTACTTTCACTGACCAACGTGCTATTCCTTTTGCAATCAAATGAGAACCATAAAAATCATACGCATTGCTAACCCAACTGGAAGGTGCACAGAAACAAGATTGTGTCAATTTAACACGATAGGTTATCAACATCAGGTCTTATGCTAGTGATATCTAAAATGTTTATTCTTGATTGACTCCTTAAACTCTTCAAGATCATTAATACTCTCAATAACTTCTTGGCATATAAGTTTCTCTCTCAAGGAACATTCCTTGACAAGCAAAACAAATATTCAAAAGATAATGTGGATTCTCGACAAGAAATACTTCATGAAATTGATCTTAGTTTATCATTTGTTTTAACTAAAAACATCATAACTACCAATTCCAAATGTGCTAGAGTAAGAAAACATTATTACTCCACATTTCATGAGATGTTACAAACCTAGTAACTTTCAAGATACGATTCAAAGTAACTAGAGCATGGCTCTAAAACTTGATTAGAAACTATGTATGAACCATCTCTCAATTGAACCATTTCAACAATATCTGATTACTCTTCTTAGTCAAACAATTGTACTAAGATGTTATTCGAGGATCAATTGAGACATAGTTCCACAATCATTAAGATGATCACAAAACACGATACCGAGGCACTCTCCTTTCCTTTCAGATTGGAGAAACCTTTATCTTTTTGCTTAATATTTTCTTCTTATTCGTTCTTCCACTCTTTAAAAACCCTTTTCTAAGTGTTAGAATTATGATTAATCTTATAAACACAACTATATTTACTGAATCATCAGTAATTCATTACGAATAGAATTTTCATCCTTTGTGGCAGATTTGAATCGTCCATATTAATGGACTAGATTCATTAGTCCTTCACTTGACTCACATAAAAAATGTGATCAATGAATTAGTAATAATCTTTCAAAGATCAAGATTTTCATACATTAAACAATTTGAATGGTATGACTCCAAGTTTCTATCCAATTGAAACTTAGGTGATGAAAATTCTTTATCACTTAGTCAATTATGATATTTACCACAAGTGAAATAATAAGAATCAAATCCACAATTAATATTGTTAATAATAGAAATATAACCAACACTTTCATAGATGCCATTGCAAGGAAATATAAATTATACCACCTATATAAACCAACATTTCATTTTTATTTATTATAAATGAAAAATTGGAACTTGTCCTTACAATGCATAAAATGAAAACTATGTTTCTAGACATTTCCTAAGCAATCTATTAAATTATCATAACTCCTAAGCAACAACTCCAAATTCTAATCATCAAACCATGTGACCGAAATCCATCGCTCGCAATCAGAAGTAGCTCATTCTTCTTAAGTTTCATTCTTTCTCTTAAATCATGTAATACCATTAAAATGTGATCATTACATAATGTATTAAGAGTTTATGAATACAAACTTATTTAATGGAGTTAGATAATGGATATACCTGAAGTAGAGTCACACGACTTGACTTTACCATCTCTGAGATCTTTCAGGTAGTATGGACGGCTTTGCAACCAATGTCCCTTCAAGTGGAAATAGAAACATATGGACTCTTTAGGATTAGCACATGGAACTATCTCAGAACTATCATTTCTTTTTACCATACTATCAAACAGTTTGACCTTGGCCGATCTCTTTCCATTGGGAAGATAAATCTTTTTTGGACCATCATTGTTACTGTCACTGTAACACCTGATCCCTGGTATGCTTCCTTTCAAGTATTTCTTATGTTTTTCTATGGGACTCGATGATTTGGTGGCCCAACTTGTCGAGTAGAGTCGTGATCCGTGGGGAGTTTAAATGACTTACTCGGCGAGTAGGTACTGTTTGGGTGAAACCCGAATTTTGAGGGTTTGTGCCCTATTTAAACAACTTATCTCAGCCTCCACAATCCCTATTACTCCTAAAAAGCATTATCTCAAAACCCTAGCCTTGTGTGAGTGTCCTAAGGCCATTTTGGTGCATTTTGGTGGATTCTGAAGCTTGAAAAGAGGAAGGAAGCTTGGGAGTTTGAGTTAGGGCTTAGAGATCCAGAGATTTTGTTCAATTTCCAGCTCATCAAGGTTTATATGGAGTTTTGACTTCAGATCTGGGTCATTGGAGGGGTCTCATGGCATAAAGGTGCCAACTCTATGGCCATGAGAGCCCCATGCACTTTGTAGAACATCTTTTATGGCTTTTTGAGCCAAAGACCCCTTGCATGTGCACCAAGGTTGGAACTTTACATGTAAAATGAACATTAGGAGGCCATGTCTATGGTTTTGATGTGTTAACACCCATTTAAACCGACTGTATAGTAATGATCAAGGATGGAATCGACGAGTTGTTCTTGGGACTCGGCGAGTCGGAGTGTAATGACCACCAAATTCTTTCTGTCGATGGACCAGTTGATAGTGTGGAAGGTCCCTCAGTTGTTTAGGCTTATAATGGACCTTGGAATCATGGGACTCGACGAGTGTTCAAGCAAACTTGGCAGGTCCAAGGTAATCTCCCAGTCTTTGAAGATGAACTCGATGAGTTTGAAAGTTCCTAAGATAAAACAAATTATCAAACAATGAATATAAAAAAGAACAACGAGGATTCACAAAGATAAACTTTCACTAAGAATGATAATCTCACAAAGAGATTATCGAATGCACAAAACGGCTATTAGGGTTTGTGAAAGATGCGCCTCTTACAAACTTGTACAAAAGACTATATAGAACTAATCTAGGCAATCCCTACAATCAGTAATATACCAACTAACTAATAGACGAAAACTATGGAAACTAGATAAGTACAAAATCTGTTACAAAATTCTAAATATGAAATTATACACTGAGCAATTAATACGCTGACCCTGATGCTGATTCATACGTTGACGCTGAGTGATCAGTCTCAAACATCATCATATTATAAGGTTTGACCTTACAATCTCCCCCAATATGATGATGTTCAAAACCAGCTAGACTAGAACACCCTTGGACAAAAATTCTTCATACTCAGCTTCAGCTTCTACTTTCACTGGCCAGAAAGGACTATCTAGCAGCTCCTGTCTTCTATTCAGTAACTCCATAGCAATCAATATATGAAACTCTCCAGAGAGATCTTGATGACTCATGCACATTTTTCTTAAACCAACAAGATGTTCTGTTGGAGCCCTTGGAATCTCTGCAGTACGCTGAAAACACATTTTCCTGTTCTTATCAAGATAAAACATTCCATGTTCAGGAACAGAGATGAACTGATGTTGAACCGGCTCAACACCAATAGGAAGAGAGTTGTTTATTTCTTCAGCACCAAAATTTAGAACCAATACATCTTCACCATCAACTTGAAATCTAGTTCTTCTGATTCTTGGAACTGAGGAACTTGGGCCTTGCTGCTGAGGATGCTCTGTAGGAACAAGATCAAGACGCTGAACTTTCTTGATCAGTAAGTGAAGAGCACAGGTCAGTTCTGAAGAAAGAGCTGAAGTTTGTGTGGATGCCAACTCGAGCAATTCCATCCATTTAGAGTATCCATATCTAATCATCTCGTCTCTCTTTATAACTTCAGTGTACGGATGTTGAGGACCTTGACGAGTGATCAACAAAGTAAGGATTTTCTCGTCATGAGGTTTTGAGGTTTTAACTTCGATGATCTTGTCATTGCTTACTCTTCGTTTGAAAACATCTTGAAACCTTTTGTTATCGATTCTGTCAAGAACACTATCAGTCCTTGAGTTACTGTTACTGGAAGGAGGCTGTGAAGATTTAGTTTTGGAATGATATTCTAGAAACCTTTGCATTTGAGCTTCAAAGGATCGCATTGCCTAAAGTTTGTGCTGAATGAGGGATTCATCAGCTTGAGCAATATTCTTTAGAAGCTGAGCTTTATTGGCTTCATCAAGGATTTGCTTAACTTGATCAGGGGTCATATTCCATTCAACTACTAGATTTGATATGCTGACAATGGACTTATGTTTCTTGCTAGGAGGAGAAGTGTCAGCATGTGAATCAGATGATTCAGTATCTGCTGCCTTTCGCTTTCGAGATAAAGGAACAAGATCCTCACTAACTACATCTGAGTTTTCACCTTGAACTGGCATAGTGGGATCTATGAAGTTGATGTCCAGCATTTGAGACACATCATCATGTTCACATTCTTCAGTAGGTTTTTTAGTTTCTGCTAGTCTCTCAGACTCGTGCTCAGGTTGTGGTGGCTCGGTCTGTTTTACAATGTTCCCCCCCAGATCCATGCTCACAGGTTCTATCAACAGAATCAGTTTCTCCCCCTTTTTGATCATCATCATCATTTGGTTGACATCAGCCTCAATACGTAGAAGACGCTGACTCATATCTCGAGTCAGTGTAAGAAGTTCATTAAACGCTGAGGCCAGAATTTGAATGAGCTGAGTACCTAGAATTTCTTGTGATTGATGCTGCTCTCCCTGAGAAGGTTGATCCCCTTGAGATGGTTTCTCCCCATGAGCAGATGACTTCCCATGAGCTGAATGAACCCTTTCAGTGACATAAATGGTGTGATGAGAAAGTTGAGGGGAGATATGACCACCTTCTTGTATTTCAGCATTAATTTTGTCGTTATCAGCAGCTCCTTCGTCAGTGTTAGCGTTTAGTGAAGGAACGGTATATGGATTCGCGATCCATTCTCGCATCCGATCAGAGATGCCGATGTCATTGGCCAGTGGATCATCCTGATACATTCGTACTGACATGCGTGGGCATTGGATGGGGTTTCCAGCGTGGGAGTAATAGGCTTCAGCTTAAAATTTATCCTGGACAAGAGCAATCCAGCGTGGAAACGGAACATGATCAACTTTTACATTGGCCCGAAGAAACTGGACAAGTTGATCGAAGAAGAAAGCCCCATAATCAACACGTTTGTTGAGGAGAAGTGAACATACCACTTGTTTCTCAAAATAACTCAGTTGATTACCACTGCGAGATTTATGGCCTATACACTTACAAAGTGCCCTGGTGAAGAACTTCCATCTAGGAGTCATACATTGACGTAGAATGAGAGCTGGTCGAGCACCAGCCTTGGAGTGATCATAGCCCAGTTGGTCAAAGAGGCGTCGACAACGTTCAATATTTGGAAGCTCAGAGAATGGTTCAAAAATTGGTAACCTGAGTGCAGTACGGAGGAGATAAGCGTTGATGAAAACTGAGCGACGGCCACACCCAATAGTGCTGGAGATGATGTTGTTTTCATTATTGACTATTGCGGTGTAGTAGAACTCACATACTTGTTCGGAAAGAACTCTGATGGAACCTCACTGACAGCATTTCGAAGTCTGCAAGATACTAGAAAATTAACAAAATCATCAAGTCCAAGACCGCGATGAACATCTGGTATATCAGGGTTGAAGACGACATTTGTGGCTTTGATGTATATGGGAAGAGGAGGAGAGTTTAGAGCTGGGATAACTCTTCTTGAGGTGGAGGAGAAAGTAAACTGTGATGCCGCCATTAAAGAGAGTTTGGATTCTAGGGTTTTGAAGAAAAGAGAAGGAAAATTGAATTGTGGGAGGAAAGTTTGGGAGAGAGGTGGGGAATGAGGTTTAAATATGGGATTAAACGGTTTTAAAAAGCTAATGATTGTCTTTTTCGAAAATAACTGTGTATCTTAACAAACTGTCAAATCCGAAAAAATAGCTGTTGAAAAAATAAGTCGTTGTACTGAAGAGGAAACGACAATCAGTGTCTGCGTAAGCGCTGAGATCAGTGTCACTAAAAGTTACATGCTGAAAGACAATCTGTCGTCAATTCAAAGTACAACTTGCTTGTGTAAGGTTAGCAAGGTGGTTGATGTGTGTGATAGATACTGATTTAATTATCTAACCATCGGCACAGAGTGTTGAGTCTTTATCAGTGAGTGGTGCTTCTTACTGAATCATTAGACACTGAGTGAGAAGAAGGTGAAGAGAGGATTGTTGCGTGTGATAGACCTTGGTGTTTTGGTCTAACCACCGCCAAAGACTGTTAGACTCTCATCAGCATGTGTTTTGTCACACTGAATCATAAAATCAGTGTGAGATTGGTAAGAAGGGATAGTTGCGTGTGATAGATCTTGGTGTTTTGTCTAACCATCGGCAAAGAGTTTCAAGTTGTTATCAGTGTATGGTTTAATACAGTGAATCACTCAACTTTAGTTTAGAAGATTTGTAGAAGAGATAGATAAGAGATCATACAAGGTACTCAGCATGGTAAACATCATTAGCACATCATCATCAGCAAACAAAATACATCAGTTTATAAGACAATAGCAAACATTAGTAAAACTTTTTTTTTTCTTTTTTTAATCCAGAGTGATCATTCCAAGTTCTCCAATAATGTGAGCAGTAGTTTGAGTATCCAGGGCCTTGGTGAAAGTATCAGCTAGTTGATCTGAAGTCTTGACATGTTCTAGAACAACCTTGCCGTTCTCAACATTGTCTCTGATGAAGTGATGTCTGATCTCGATATGCTTTGTCTTTGAGTGCTGAACAGGATTCTGTGTGATCTGAATGGCACTGGTGTTATCACAGTATGTGGGAGTATTTGTGAATTTAAGCCCATAGTCTAAAAGCTGATTCTGAATCCATAAGAGTTGAGCATAACATCTCCTAGCTGCAACATACTCAGCTTCTACAGTGGAGATAGCTATTGAGGTTTGCTTCTTGCTAGACCAGCTGATTAGTCGATTTCCAAGGAAATGACATCCAACTGACGTGCTCTTCGTGTCTAAGTTGCATCCTGTATAGTCGGAATCAGTGTATCCAAAGAGTTCAAGTGTTGAGTCACGAGGGTACCACAATGCTAAGTTCTGAGTGCCCTTTAAGTATCAAAAAATGTGTTTAACTGCAATGAGATGAGACTCCTTGGGATTAGCTTGAAATCTAGCACAGAGAATGGTTCCAAACATGATATCAGGGCAACTTGCAGTGAGGTAGAGAAGAGATCCAATCATTCCTCGATAAAGAGAGTGATCAACATCAGTGCCGGTGGGATCAGCATGTAGCTTATCAGTCTTGGACACCGGAGTAGAGGTCGGTTTGCAGTCACAGAGAGAGTACTTAACAAGCATGTCAACAATATATTTACTTTGACAAATTGAGATACCTGATTTTTGTTGCTGAACCTCAAGACCTAAGAAAAAGGTCATCTTCCCCCATCATGCTTATCTCGAACCTTTGAGACATGATCTCAGCGAATTCCTTGCTCAGCTTCTCATTTGGATATCCAAAGATGATATCATCGACATAGATTTGAACAAGAATCATGTCTGATCCTTTGTTTTTGATGAAGAGTGTATTATCAATTGCTCCTCTTCTGTAGCCATTTTCAAGGAGATATGATGTCAGTGTCTCATACCAGGCCCTGGGAGCTTGCTTCAGTCCATATACAACTTTATCTAGGCTGTACACATAGTCATGGTGCTCTTTGTCTTCAAAGCCAGAGGGCTATTTGAGAAATAATTCTTCTTCTAACACACCATGAAGAAATGCTATTTTGACATCCATCTGGTAGATAATGAAGTTCATGTATGAAGCATATGAATGGAACAGTCTGATTGCTTCAATGTGGGCAACTGGAGCAAAAGTCTCCCCGTAATCAATGGATTCAATTTGAGTGAACCCCTGATCAACAAGTCTTGCTTTGTTGTGAGTAATAACACCATCTTTATCAACCTTGTTTCGATAGACCCAACGTGTTCCTGTGATGGTCTTTCCTGATGGTCTGGGAACAAGAGTCCAAACCTTGTGCCTTTTGAACTCATTCAGCTCGTCTTGCATGGCTTTAATCCAGTCAGCGTGTTGAAGTGTTGAGTGTATTTTGTCAGGTAAGATCATTGAAACAAAGTTAACATACATGCAAAAATGATTAGATACACGAGATCTGGTTTGGACACCATCATGAAGATTTCCAATAATTTGATCAACAGTGTGATCTCGATGTTCTGGAGCTGATTCAAATGAGGTTGATGCTGAAGAGTTATCAATGAAAGGAACATCAGTTACAGGAGAGTCTTCAGATTCAAGGATTTCATCAGCATCTGACAAAAAAGTTGTTGTGCTGACCGCAGTGCCTTGATTGACAGGACTTGGGTCTGGAACGATAGGATCAGGAATGACAGCTTCTTCTTCAGTATGTGAGACTTCATCAGATGGATAGGAGAGAAGCTCTTGAAAAATAGAAGGGGAATGAGATACCTTTTCATCAGTGTAGGATTCTTCATCAAACTTTCAGATTCAAGGATTTCATCAGCATCTGACAAAAAAGTTGTCGTGCTAACCGCAGTGCCTTGATTGACAGGACTTGGGTCTGGAACGATAAGATCAGGTATGAGAGCTTCTTCTTCAGTATGTGAGACTTCATCAGATGGATAGGAGAGAAGCTCTTGAAAAATGGAAGGGGAATGAGCACCTTTTCATCAATGTAGGATTCTTCATCAAACTTTACATGAATGGATTCCTCAATGCATTGCCTGTTCACATGAAAAACACGAAAAGCCTTTGAAATAGATGAATATCCAACAAAAATACCTTTGTCAGCCTTATGCTCAAATTTTGATCTGGGGTCGTGCTGATTAAGAATATATAAAATGCATCCAAACACGTGAAAGAAGGATACGTCCGAATTTCGACCTTTCAACATCTCATATGGTGTCTTCTTGTGAAGCCTGTGAATTAGAGAGAAATTCTGAGTATAACATGTTGTATTAACAGCTTCAGCTCAAAACAACATAGGAAGACCAGCATGAATCATTAACGTCCTTCCTGCCTCAATCAGTGTTCGATTTCTTCGTTCAGCAACTCCATTTTGTTGAGGCGTGCGAGGAGCTGAAAAGTTCTTCCCAATACCTTTAAAATCACAAAAGTCTTCAAGAGTCGAACTCCGGAACTCAGTGCCATGATCACTCCTTAGCTGCTTAACTTTGAGACCAGTCAGCGTCTCGTTTTGTCGAATCAGTGAGATAATTTCCTGTACAGCTTGACCTTTCTTCAAGAAAGCCACCCATGTAAATCAGTTAAACTCATCCATATCCACCAGCGTATACTTGTTTCCTCCTTGGGAACGAACAGGAATAGGTCCAAACAAGTCCATGTGTAGTAAATGAAGAGGAACAGATATGCTAGAACATGAATTGGGTTTGAATGATGACTTGGTTTGCTTTCCTTGTTCACACGCTGAGCACATCTTGTCTTTGACAAAGCTGAATTTTGGGAGACCTCTAACTAGATCTTGATTGGATATTTTAGATATATTCTTAAAGTTCAAATGAGAGAACCTTTTGTGCCAAATCCAGCTGAGATTGGTTTGAGACTTGGTAAAGAAACATTGCATCAGTGCCTTGTCACTTGAGAACATGTCAAGAACATATATCTCATCTTTTCTACTTGCTGAGAGTGCAATGTTCTTGTGAGTGTTGATGACTCTTCCTTCCTTCTTTGTAAAATGAACTTCATAATCAGCATCACACAATTGGCTGATTGAGATAAGATTGTGTTTGAGACCCTTTACATATGAAACATTCTGAAACACCACATTATTGCACTTGATGTTCCCATATCCTTTAGTAAACCCCTTTCCATTGTCTCCGTATGTTACTGCAGGACCAATTTTCTTGACATAGTCTTCCAGGAGAGACTTGGATCCTGTCATATGTCTTGAGCAACCACTGTCTAAGTACCAAAGATGCTCTTGACCCTGTAGTGCTGAGAAACTAGTTAGAACACACTAACCCATTGTAAAATAGGTCATTCACAAAGTTATTTGACAATATATTATAGCACTCTTTAGGAAGACAGTTCATAGAATTTGATTTAAGAGTCCATCTTTCATTTCTAACTTTGATGTTGTCAGCTCTTAAAGATGTTTTATCAAACTTGCATTCACTAATCTTGTGAGAGGTGTCACCACATCTGTAACAAACTCTAGCACCAAAGTTTTTCTTGGTGAGCAGATTTCTAGATTTAACACATTTGGATTTGTAAGATCCACCAAGTGAACTTTGATTCCTTTTGTTTGACATTGAATTACAACTGAATTCAGTGTAAGAAGAACTATGATCAGTGATGGATAAGGAGCTGACATCAGTATCAGATTTAGACTTATGCACTGAAACACTGTAATCAGGATAATGATTAAGTTGTTCATGAATAGCATGAAACACTCCATTTGAGATAGGAAATGCGATAATATTTTCAGTGAGAGGAGTTGGTCTCTCAAGATGTGCAGGGTAAGAAGTGGGATCAATTATGGTAGTTTCAATATCACACTCAGTAACACCATTAGAATAAGTAACACAGTATTCATCAATGAGACTCTGATTAACAAAAGTGTTACTGATAAATTTTTTTTTGAAACTATCTTTCAGTTCGTTCATGGAATAAAATTCAGATTCTTTTTCTTGAGATTTAAAAACTTTTTCAGCTTCAGCAAAATTTCCCCCAAGAATTTTCTCACATGAATGAGGTATTTGAGCAG